TAGTAAAAGTATCAAAAAAAAATGATTTTGACCATTTCGACCATTTCGGATATTCGAAATGATCTATTTCAACTTTATGTATAATCGCAATTGTATTATCGGCCGAAATTATGAATCAATAAATTCTACTTTAAATAAAGAAGTCTAGATTTCGAAATACGATCGCAAATATCTCAAGATGTGCTGATCCAAAATCAATGAATATTAGCTCATTAGATTTGTCTAGTCATGGGAAATCAAATGGTAGTTGTTTTATACAAATCAGTGCGATATTGATCGAGATTGTATATCTTTTGTTTTTTTTTGTTTTTTCTATATATAAAAAATCATGTAATATAACGTCATTTTGATCATTTCGACTTTTCATTTCGACTTTGACCTCTAAAGTCAAATATTTCGACTTTTGGATTTTCGTTTTGACTTCATGTATATCTGTGATTAAATAAATATTAAAAAAATTTATTTTCGTTAATTCTATTTCGTTTATTTTATTTATTTGATATAACTTTAACTAACTTATGCTTTATTAGCAACATCTCAATTTATCCATTCTATTTTCCTTTTTAGGCAAAAAACGTTTAATGGATTCAGAAAATATTGATACAACTATAAAAAAACTGAAAGGTAAGTTATGTATAATATACCATTGAATAGAATTTAATATGTGTTAACATAACTTTATTATTATAGTTTAAACAGACACTTCTGAACTGCCTCTCCCATAGTTAATAATCAATTATAAATTTAGTTAGATATAATTAAGTAATTAATTTATTAAAAATTTCCCCAATCCAATAAATATTTACTTCTCTTATTATATCAATTCCCATATACATTACAAACAATTATTTTTTATACATATTTTTATTTTATTATAGTCTATATTATTATCCACATTTAGTATATTTATTATTATATGATTATCCAAAAATAGCAATGATCTTATTATTAATTATTGTAAAAATTGGTAGAAGGTTCAGGAATAAGAGGAGTCACAGATATTACGTTATTTTAATATTTTAAAATTTAGTTCCTCAGTCATCAATTCTATTTTAAAAAATCATAAAATCATATGATTAATATCTAATTTAGAAACTGATTATTTAATTTGCATTAGATTTTTTTTAAAAAAAATTACTTTCTGATAATTAATTAAAGTTATAAGTTTATGTAATATATAGAGTTTAATTTAATAGTTTATTTAGCTATCATTCTATTTTTCTTAATAAATTGATTAATTAAATATTAGCGAAAAAAATTTAATAAGAAAAAAAAACATTTAAAAAAGTAGTAATCATTGCGAAATAATGTTGTTATATTGTTTTTTATTATTTATTAAAATTGTTCCTAAATTAAATTATATTACATATTAAAGCAAGATTTATTATCATTAACCTTAAATGTTAAGTGATTTTAATCTCTAGGTTTTGTTATCAAATTTTGACGCGAAACCTTTATATTACTCTTCTTTGTTATTTTTTCCTGTTGAGATAATTGCTTTTCTATATATCTTACATCACATTCATCATATTTTTCACATTCTTTAATTTTTACTTTTGTTGCTTTTTCTTTTGAATGAATTACTTTGATATGTTGCTTTAAAAATGGTTTTGATAGAAAATATTTTTGGCACTTTTGGCATAAAAGTTTATTTACAAATCTGAAGTAATACTAGGATAATGTTTATCATAACCAGGTAGTTTTTCTCCAAAATATTCTAAAGTGTGAATAAGACTTAAATAATAACTATTGCGACCTTTTACAATAGGTGGTAAAAAACCATTATTTATAAATAAAAGGTCATAGATTTCAGGTGCACATAGTTGTTTACAGTAATTTCTATTCTTGCATTTTCTCAAATCAAAAGAATATTTGCAAATTTGAGCATGTTGATTAATCCAATCCCACGATTCTTCTTTTATACTTAAAAAATCCATCTGATTATATTTCTCAATATATGTAATAATAACTGGATGATCATTAATGTTATCACGATTCTAAAATTCACAGAGTCATTCACCTGTATGCCTAAAATTATGATAAGCAAGATCTTCATCTACAACAGTAACTTTTTCACCAATACTTCCAAAATGATTACCATATGCAAATGCATCCAATTCAATTCCTATCAATTTACCAGAAAGTGTTGCCATATTTTATTCAACTGGATTAAAAGCTGATTATTTTAGAGCATGTGTTTGAATAATAAGATAATCCAAGTCAAGTTTTTTAAAAATTAATAAATACTTGGTAATATTAGCAAGAAATCAGAATTTTCATCTGATCCACCATCTGTTAGCAAACATTAAAATGGCTTTACAAATCCTTCATGATGTGTAAACTCATAAAAAGACTTATTCTTTGATATTTCCATAAGGTCTACCATATATGTCTCACATGTTGTATCCAAAAATTACTCAGGACTAAGGTTGCTAGACGAAATCAAAAATTTAGACAGTTGTCTAAATGGTAAAAGTAAAACTTGGTTAAATTATATTAAAACCTTATTAAAAAATCTGCGAAATTTGGAAAAAGGTAAAACTAAATCAAAGCTTATAAAAATGGTGAAACTATATCAAACACTTAGTAAAAATTTAGTGAAACTAAAGGTTTTACTATTTTGCCAAATCCCAAATGAGTTTAGACAAGCAACCTTACTCAGAACGAATAAAAATTTGTATTTTACCCGCTCGTAATAAATCATTTGTATTGAATGGATTAATTATTAAGTAAACAGAAGGAATTAGCTTATGTTTTGCAACTTTCAGAAAATTATGATCAGAAACTATAACTGGTTCATTTACTATTTGTATAGCCTTGAAAGTTCTTCCAATAGTAGCCATTCTGAGAGAAACCTATAAATCTTAAAAAATTAGAAAATTTCTTAAAAAAATACTATAAAATAAATATAAATACTTTAGTTTTATCACCTTGCGAGATCAACAAAATATTTTAAAAAAAAGCTGATGCCATTGATTTTACACCCTTAATTGACGCTAAACAATAATACTTATCAACATGAACTTTCATTTCAGTTCTCCAAACTGCTGCTAATCGTATTTGAGTAGGATAGTGATATCGATTGTTCCTAAATTTCGTGATTGCATATAATTTTGTACTGTTGATCACATATGTACATTATAAATTTTTTCCATTTTCTTACAAAGATGTTTAACTGTTTACACTTTAATTACTTCTTTATACCATTTATAATCAGCAGCTCCAAACTCAACACAATCATGCATTTTTTTTAAAAAATTAGGATCATTCATCAAATATGATGGATGACCTGATATATTGTATGTTTCTATAACATTTTCTTTTTCTAATTTGTTCCTTTTTTTTTCTGGACTTATTTTTGAGCTACTACATTGTTTTTTAATTATTTAAGTTTTCTTTCTCTATAAATATAGTTTCTTTAAGCCTTTTAACCTTTGAAAAAATTGGGAACGAAATTCTAATGATGTTGCTACATATGACTGCTTAGTATATTCATACACTTCAACCTTAGCTTATTGAATATAAATAAAAGATTATTTTTATACAGATGCATTATTAGAGGGATTGAAAAGAATTTCTAAAGGTAATAATAAAGATAGTGAAGGTGGTAAAGGTTTGATTACGAATTTTTGTTGTGAAGATTGTAAAAAAAAGAAGGTTGAATGGGTATCATTAATAGGTTGGAAATAAGGTTTTCAATATAATCCTTATTTTTTGTTTTATCTTTTTGTGCTTCAAGTTGAAGTTCCTTTTTGTTTGATGCAATATTATGACTTTCTACTATTTTAGAAAATATGAAAGCATTTATATATTGTTTATATATATTTTGTGGTTTCGAAACAAGATAATTCTTAAAATATTTTTGTTCATAAAGATAAGTTTGCTTCATTTTTAAAAAAACATGTAATATAACAATAATAAAAAAATTTTTCAACATTTTTAAAAAATTGAGAAAAATTTTTTCTATATGCATTGCATTAACATCAAAATAAATTAATTAAACTATTTAACAAAATGTGCAATAATTAATGATGGTTAATTGATTTATGTAATATCATCAACTAGCATCTCCTTTATAAAGTGGTTAATTGGCTAATAGATTTATCTAAAAAAGGTTTGTGAAATGTCATCAACTGATATTCCTCTCCCCTCTAACTCCGGTCAATAACTAATTAGGACTTACTCAAAAGAACAAGAACAAAATTTGACTAAGAAAATTTCCAGTTCAAATAATTTTATTCATGTAGTTGATAAAAGGTTTTAAAAGCTTCTATATCATTTTATTTGTATAACATTAAAAATGAATATAAAAAAGAGAGAATAAAACCCTCTCTTTTCACTCAGTTTTCAATCAGAAAAATAAGAAAGTAATAACAACTAAGTTTAATAATAATAATAAAGTATAATTTATTAAAAATATAACCCATTTACGTATTTCAACTGTATTAAAAATTGTTAATTAAATCACACCAAACTTCTTATCTTAATTAATTAAATAATAAATTAATTAATTTAATGGTAACATTTTGCAGATATAGAAATATATATATCTCAGGAGGATTATATTTGAGAAGACTGATTAGTACCAGCTTGGTTTAAAGGTATCAAGTATAATTTTGGAAAGACCTAGGCAATCTATTTCAACTTAAAAGATAGCTGATAAGAAAAAATCTAATTAAGAATTAGGCAAATCATTTCTGATTTAAAAGATAATTGGTGTTGGGTTTAGTATTTAGGTTAAATAATTAACCGAAGAATTTGACAATAAGTCAAATTTATAATAGCACAACATTTTGAATACTGAAAATTCAAAGTTTTTTCAAAAATCATTGTCCTAATTTTAGTTGGCCTGTCAATTTTTATCATAATGTCTTCAATAAATTTTTGCAAGATTACAATAATAAGAATCTAATTGTATTAGAAGATATTCTTAAACTGGTTGATAATTTTATTAATGAAATGTCAGAAGTATATAGAATAGAAAATAGTTGACGGAAATTATGGAGAAGCACATTTATGAATTATTTAAATATCTATTAGAAAAAAGAGTTCTTTCTGATAAGTCTAGTAATAATGGTATAATAAAATGCTAAATCAAAAATGAAAATGGAAAATCCAGATTAATTATAATTTGAATTAAAAAATGAAATTAGTACAGCATATAATGATCCTTATATTCAAGAAAATATCTCTTATGCTAAATATTAGATACAAGAAAAGATAAATTTTACATATAAATTTATATATAGTTTGTAAGTAATAAAATACTTATTTAATTAAATTTGATAGGATGAGATAAGAAAAGTACAAAAGATATGCAATTGCCATATACTATCATAGTAATAGCAGGTTCATAGCTTTGTATTTCAGGAATAGTATACTTAGATCAACCAGATATTGATTCTCTTACACTATTTATGCCTATCATTTAAACAAAGAATAGCAATTATTTATATCATATAGCACAGATTAGTGATACTGACTAAACTCTTTTTTGAAAAATTGCAATTTCGTCAAAAATTTTGTCTCTGTAATATTTTTATATAAATAAATATAAAATTATTATATTTTTTAATGTATTTTAATTCAAGGAATTTAGATTAAATTAAATATAATTTCAGCAATTAAGTAAAATAATTTCGTCATTAATAAAAAACTAGTTTCATTATTTCAGTTTCGTTAATTTCATCATATTAAGAAAGGTAATTTCGTCAGGTATCACTAGCACAGATGCTTGAAGCTTTGTAGCAGTCTATTTGTTCATTAAGGAAATTTTATGAGCAACTTAATTTAACAGATTATTCTTTAGATAATGCATAACAATTTTTTCCTTATTTTAACAAATTTGAAACAAATAACAAAATTGTTAGATTTACTTATGATAATTTAATTGAAGAAAAGAATCTTTGGTGTATATACACAAATGATGATAATTGTCAATTGATTATTAAATTTGCATAATGGTACAATGCTGAAGCTCATCAACTATGTGCTGAATATGGATTTGCATCTCAATTAGAGCTCCTAATGAGTCGAGTTGACTCTCGAGTTTGATTCGAGTCGAGTCAAAAATTTTCTGACTCATTTGACTCGAATTGAGTCATTAGTCAAGTTGAGTCAATAAATTGACTCAACTCATTTCAACTTGAGTTAACTCATGTGAATTGATGTTACATGAATTACCATTTTGAGAATTTTGTGTAATTCATTTTTGGTTTTTCGATAGCCAAAAATTTCCTTTTTAGGATTTGTATAACCATACATCTATATATGGAATCTCGTGTAACTCAATTTGGATCAATCCCAGAATTCGAAAATATATCGATTACGAAGCTTTAATTGAATATTTTTAACATGTTTTCTTGAATATCTCAGCGTCAAGTGATCCGTTAGAAATGCAACACATGTCATTTTGATGAACGCATCTCAGCGAACATGATAGTGTAGATTTCACGAAATTCGGATCGGTAAATCTCGAGATAATGGCCTCTGAAACATTAATATAATTTTATTATTTTATTATTTATATAATTAGCAAATATATTTTGGGAGTTTTTATTTGACTCGAGTTGAGTCGAGTTAAATTTAAGTATAACTCAAGTCGAGTCGAGTTAGAGTTTTAAAAATTTTTGACTCAACTTGACTCGACTCAAATTTTTTGAGTTGAGTCAAGTTATCTTTAAAACTTGACTTGACTTGACTCATTAGGAGCTTTAAGAATATATATGAGTAATAGTTGAAGTAGCTTTGAGTCAATATATACAAGATAAAAATCTTACAATGAAAGATATTTTAAATAGTAATTGTGATCTTTTAAAAGTATGGTATTTATTTTTTTGTTAGGCTGGCTTTTGGTTTGAACATAAAACTGGAATTAGATATGAACATTATGATCTTCAATTTCAAAACCTTTATGCTTTTGCTCTACTTTTTCCAGTAGCTGGTCGAAACAATTATGCGTAATCTGTTACACATTTTATATCAACTATTGAAAAAGACACAGGCTTACAAAGCATTCTTCGATATGTTTGTTCTATCAATTTAACATGTCTTGATCATTATTTTGCATTTGATAAGACTCTGGAACGATTTGGCATAATGTTTGTTAAACAAAACATTGGTTTTGTAAAATATTCTATAAATGAGCTAAAATTACAAATCATTTCAATTCAATCAGAATGAGATCGTTTGAATTTACTGATTAGTAAATATGTTAGTGACAATTTATCAACTTCAACTGATTGTAATATAAAGTCTTGAAAGGATACGTTATGGAAATTAATTGCTGATTTACAATTAGCTTTTGAAAATCCTAATAGATTAGAAACTGATGAGCTTTTTAAAGAAGCTACACAAGATATGGAGCAGGGGTTTCAAAAACTTTTTAATTGTTATAATATAGGTATAAATAGGTTATATGATATATATAAGCAAGATGTTAAAAAATCTATTACAAGAAATCCATGTAGAAGACGTATGAAAAATGTTATTACAAATATAGTTTCCCAGCAAAAACAACAAAAATAAAATGTTAACAGCAAAATGTTGAACCTCAACAATCAAAGCGTCAACGAAAAATAAACACGTTAGAAAATGATATACAATACAAAGTAAACAAATGTCAAACATAATAATTGGATTTAAGTATGTATAAATTTATTGTTATATAACTAATTTATTTTAACAATTTTTATTAATTTTATTGTCTTTTTCATAATTACTACAAGTGGTTTTTCATATTAACATAGCCGGTTGAAATATCGATATTAGTTGGATATGGTTTCTTTTAAGAATACTATTCGCATTATTAACGCTAATCTGAGTTTATTTTTGGTTTTTTCTTTGGTATTTTGATCATTGGTTTTTTTTAATAAAGCGTTAGGTGGCTTATGATTAAAAATATTCACACATTGCAAATTTAAAGCAAGCAATTCTCTAATCCAATAAATTTATGATATTAAAAATTTTACAGGTTTTGAGGTTAACATTAACTTGTGAATTTAATTTTACAAATAATTTAATTATAATAAAAATTTGAAAAATTTTATTGAAATAGTTTAAAAGTTATGTTTGATTATTGGTATAATGAAATTATAATACCCTGTTGTATAAAATTTACTGTATACGCTTAATATATTAAAAATAATATTTTTTTGTAATAAATATAGAAAACTAAAGTTATTAATTGTAAAGGATTTTTAAATTTACACTTTTTAAAAAATATACCTATTAAGCTATATAATATGAATTTTTATAATAAATTATATATTTTTATATAAAGAAGTAGTTAAAAAAAGAACTTTTTATTATTTATAAATAAGTTGAACATTTTATTTTTTATTGCTAATTATTTATGCATAACTAACAAAACATTATTAATAATTATAGTGCATGAGATATGTCACATGACCGCTATACTAAAAATAAATAAAATATTTAGGATAGAATCACCTCCAATATTTTATTTGTTATTACCATCATTAAATTTAATAAGTTTAATCTTTCAATAAATATTGCTAGCTTTTAGTAAAAAAAAAAAAAATACTAAAATAATTATATATTTAATATATCTCTTCTCTAAAAAGGATATAAGTATTATTAAAAGAATAAATAAATAAGAAAATCATGGTAAACATAATAACAGAACAACAAGAAAAAAACCAAAAACTATTAAACAAAATTGAAACATTAAGAAAATAATTAGCTGATAAAGAAGAAAACTTTAAACTAAGTATTTTAAATGTAGTTAATAATGTTATAAAAAGTGAAAAACCAGAAATTGCTGGCACTTTAATGACTTTAAAATAACATTTTTGAGCTTGAGATGAGTGGGTAAATATTCAAAAAGAAAATGGAGTTGAAAAAGTTATTTTTGGTAATGAATTCACTATTGAAAATATTGTTAAAGGATTTAGTGAATAAATATTAGCTACTTCAGATTCTTTTAGATTTACTTATGATAAAAATAAAGAACCTGAAGAAAAGAATGCTATTCTAGAAAAAAGTGTTGCTGAATTAAAGATAACCAAACAAGAGTTAGAAAAAGCATTAGAATTAGAGGAGAAAACATCTGATTGACATTTAGAAGCTCTCAAAATGGCTAAACAATGGAGAATAAAACAAAGCAAAGGAAAGGATAATAACTTAGAAAAAGCTTTGAAATAAATAGAGCTGTTAGAAAATGTTGTTTCATAGCAGAATTATTTAGCAAACAAACAATTTCAAGAACTGTCAACTTTATCAAGAAAAGAAAACAAATTTAAACTCCTAACTAACAAAGTAAAAAACAAAGTTAGTTAAATAAAAGAAATAATCAGAGAAAAATTTAATGCCTATATTTTACAAAAGAATAAATAGTATAAAATTAGAATACTAAGTTAACAAGCTGGAAAGATGAGATAAATGGCATTGTAATTTCTATTCTTTTGAAAGAGAAAGGAGTTTAATTGCTACTTACAAAATAGTATCTTATAATACAAGCAATAATGATTATAATAATATTGCTTATATTTGTGTTGAGTGTAAAAAAGCTCTTGATAATAATACTTTGCCACATTGTAATGATTGTGATAGAATTATGAGAAACAGGATAGATTGTTTTTGTGATTTAAGGAAAGATGAATTAGTCAAAACCCCAACCATAATAGAAATTATGTTACAGAGTTATATTAGCAGATTGGAATAGCAGAATAAAGACTTAAAACAGCAACTATCCAGTGCTAAGGAAGAAATCAGTTCTTATTTGAAAGTCTTAGAAGTTTCAAAAGATTGACATAATAAGTAAAAGCAAGAATTATTAGATAAAATTCAAAGACTTGAAAGTGAAGTTGAACAGTTAAAGGAACAGCAGATTCAACTAACTATACAAGTTGAAGTTAAAGAAATTAAAAAATGACCTTGATTGAAAATAAAAGGTAATTAAAAATTAACAAATTGAAAAAAAAGTAATTATTTGTTTTAGTTTATTATTCTACCAGTTTTCTTTTTTTTCTTGATTTTTTACTAGAATTTTCTAATACTCTTTTGAAAACTCTTTCCTCTTGATAAATTTCATTAGTAATCCTTTCTTTGTCTAAATATGTTTGCAAAGATTTGGTATTTGCTAATTTAAAAATGTAAGGAGCAATTTTTTCACCTTATTCTTTTTTCAGAATACTTCTAATGATACTATAATTCTTAGATTCCATGGTAAATCTGATGTAAATTAGCTTCATATTAACTATTTTTATATAGGGGCAATTCTATATATCACTTAAGATAGCAAATGGGATATTATAATCTGTTAATTATATAATCACATTACAAATGATTTTGATTTGATCCCTGAAATTTTTGATAATACCAATGTTCACTTTGTCTGGTTTTGTTGCAGTATGCCCCATATAATATTTGCTTTATATTGTTTTATATTAATATATATATTTATTTTATACATTATTTTTGTATAATATTAATTATTAAATATATGTATTTATAATTTATAATTTATTATTATTTATCATTAACTTATTAATTATTTAATATAATAAATATCATATATACTCTTTATATTTATTTCTTAAAACGATAATAATAATAATAAAGGTCTAACAAATCAGCTGTATTTGATTTGTTTTATTTTCCCTTTTGATTATTACTACAGTCAACCCTTGATATAACGAATTTTATGTCCTGAACTTCAACTTCGCTATAGAGCTATAGTGAATTTTTTAAAGAATTTGATTGGCTAGTTCGTTATAACGAGGGTAAATTTAATATAGTTGTCCAAAAAATTCGTTATATAAAAATTCGCTATAGAGAGGTATGACTGTACTATATTCAAAATAATTGTATTCTTACATTTTAAAAATAAATTATTTTAATAAATAAATTCTTGTTATTCCATATGATGTGAAGTTATTCACGGGAGATATATTATTAATCACATGCGCGTAAGCGTGTGATTATTATATATCCCTTCTAATCTTTTAAAAATATAAGCCAGCAAAACTCATTTTTTCATTATTTATTTATCTAAGACTATTTGTTAGATACCATAGGTTTTGCAATAATATTTTTACCTGAAGAAGAATTTGGATTTGAGTTATTCAGCAAAACTAGGTAACAATTTTTGTTAATTTTGCTTGAAAATTTTTCATTATTTCGTATTATACATAATTTTATTTTAAATAACCAATTTATTTTATATAACCAGTAAGATACTCAAGCATTGTCAATATGGATGGGAGGTTTATTGTATTTTAATCTAAAAAATCATCAGAACTTCATTTTCCTAGCAAACCTCCCATATTCAACATATAAAAATGATTTTTGGCCTCTTTATTTAGAAAAGAAGCGAAAGAATAATAAATGGCATAGTCCTCATAAAAGAAGATATTATTATTATATCTCCCTTTAAAGTCAGATATGGTAAATCGAAAAACAAGAAAGATTACACGAAAGACGGTCCGAAAGATGCTTGGAGGGGCCAGAATTATAAAAACTTAAATGGATCGAGATGAAATGGGAGCTTTGCAGTAGAAAGGGAGGAAACTCTAAAAAAAATTAAAATTTTACTTTCTAAGCTAATTATGATTTTTTTAGTAAAATAAGTTCAGATTTAACATTAACTAAAAAAAAATTTTTTTTAGAATTTCCTCCCTTTCTACTGCAAAGCTCCCAAATGGCTCTCAGAGAATCTTTCTCTGCATTGCTTGATAGATTACTGCTTAGTATTGCCTATTTTTTGATGTATTACAATCCATCCGGATTATCTTTTCTTTTTTTTCTCTTTTTATATATATAGAAAACAAGTTGATCCAATACCCAATTATATAAATGCAAATGCAATTGTTGAATGCTGCTGTGTCAATATTTTCCTTTCACAATTTTTCCTAAAGACCAAAAATATTAATATTTAATCTAAATATTTAATCATGTCAAATAATTATAATGGTCAACGACTTGTCGGCTTTAATCGACAATTTCCAAAAAATTTTGCCGAGGCCAAAGATTATATATTTGAACTAGGATATTTTTGTTATATTGAAACAAACCAAGCTTTTCAAATATTTTGGGCCTTAATCAGTAATACATATACAATAATAAGTACTAAAGCTCCAACTGAACTTATTAGAGATATTACCAACAAAGCACTGGAACTTTCAAGTAAAACTATGGAATATGCTGTGAATCAAGGAGTTGTTGACAATGTTGCGTCATATCTTATGCGTAAAGAAAAAAATACCGAAGATAATACTGAACTGCAAATAAAGGGTTCGGGAATTACTAATGATATTAGAGAAACTTCTACAACCGATATATTAGATCTTAATGCTTATCTTCAAGAACAACTTACTAAACGTATAATGTTTCTTGACGGTGCCATGGGTACCGTTATTCAGCTACTTAAACTTTCTGAAGAAGAATTTCGAGGAGATTTATTTAAAGATCATTCACATGATCTAAAAGGGAACAATGATATTTTGGTTTTAACGCAACCTGAGATTATTAAGAAAATACATATCGAATATTTAGAAGCTGGGACCGACTTTGTTGGAACCAATACCTTTTGTAGTACTTCCATTAGTCAAGCAGATTATTTTTGTGAAAAATATGCTTATGAATTAAATAAAGAAGCTGCTAAATTGGCAAAAGAAGCATGTATTGAGGTATGTTATATTAAAAAAAAAAGGTCTACTTGAGAAAGTTTTAATTAAAGTAAGTTATTTATGATATATCTCTTCGAATATAAATAATTAGGTTACAGCACGAGATACAAGCAGACCAAGGTTTGTCTGTGGAGCAATTGGACCAACAAATCGCACATGTTCTATTTCTCCATCCGTAGAAAATCCTGCTTATCGTAATGTCACCTTTGATGAGTTGGTCGAAGCATATTCAGAACAAATTAGAGGTTTACTAGATGGTGGAGCTGACATTCTATTAGTAGAGACTATTTTCGATACTTTAAATGCAAAGGTAGGTATCTAATGTTTTGAAATAAAATATATATATTTGTATATTTTTTAATTGATTTTAAATTTATAGGCAGTTTTATATGCAATTGATTTGTTATTTGAAAGTGGTTATAAGAAAACCCCAATCTTTGTTTCTGGTACAATTGTTGACCAATCTGGACGTACCCTTAGTGGGCAAACTGGAGAAGCCTTTGTAACTAGTATCAATCATTCACATCCATTGGCAATCGGACTGAATTGTGCTTTGGGTGCAGAACAAATGAAACCATTCATTCAAAATATTTCTAAGTTTACAAGTTCATTTGTAATTTGTTATCCAAATGCTGTAAATATTATTTGTACACAATTATTTAATATAATATCCTTATATAGATACCTTTGTTAAAAAAATTTTTTTTCATTTAAATGATTTACACACAGGGTTTACCAAACACTTTTGGAGATTATGATGAAACACCTGAAATGATGTCAAAAGCAGTTGCAGATTTTGCAATGGATGGTCTTGTTAATATATTGGGAGGATGTTGTGGTACAACACCCAGTCATTTGAAAGCAATCGTTGAAGCTTGTTCAAAATATAAACCTAGAGTTCCACCGCCAGATACAAAGTTAGATAATATGATCATTTCTGGATTGGAAGTGTTGAAAGTTAACAAGGAAACAAATTTCGTAAATATAGGAGAGCGTTGTAATGTTGCTGGATCAAGGAAGTTCGCTCGTCATATTATAAAAGGAGAATATGAAGAAGCAATGGCAATAGCAAGGTCTCAAGTTGAAAATGGTGCACAGATTGTTGATGTTAATATGGACGAAGGAATGTTGGATGGAAAAGCTGCCATGACTAAATTTTTGAATTTAATTGCTAGTGATCCAGATGTTGCTAGGGTATGAGATTTTTGACTTGTTAAAATTTACTGAATTTCTCCTTATTCAATCATGTTTAATCAATTAGAAATATTAAATAATGTTAGGTCCCAATCATGGTAGATTCTTCAAACTTTGAAGTGGTCCTAGCAGGATTGAAATGTGCGCAAGGAAAGTGTATTGTAAATAGTATAAGTTTAAAAGAAGGACCTGAAGATTTCATTAAAAAGGCCAAGATTATTAGAAGGTTTGGTGCTGCTGTTGTTGTTATGGCTGTAAGTTATTTTTTGTCTATTATTAAGATAAATATATTATTTAATAACTGACGAGTTTATTGTATTATTAGTTTGATGAAACAGGTCAAGCAGATGTTAAAGATCGCAAAGTTGAAATCTGTACTAGATCGTATAAAATCTTAACTGAAATAGTTGGATTCAATCCTAACGATATTATTTTTGGTAACAATTATTATATTGTCTTAAAGCTTGTGGAAAAAAATTCTTTGATTGGGACTATTTATTAATAGTTTTATATATATTAAAACAGACCCAAATATTTTAACTATCTGTACTGGTATGGAAGAACATAATAATTTTGGTGTAGAATTTATTGAAGCAACACGAGAAATCAAACGAACTTTATCAGGTGCAAAAGTATGATAAATCTTTTATTATTAAGATCGAATATGAATTATTTAATTCGTTAGATTATAATGTTTAATAATGGATTTTAATTATTAAGCCTTGTTTTTTTATAGATTAGCGGTGGTGTATCTAATTTATCATTTTCATTTCGTGGAATGGATAAAGTTAGAGAAGCTATGCATAGCGTTTTCCTATATCATGCAATTCAAGCAGGTACAAAATCATTTTCGTTTGTATTATTTATTTTAAATTTTGCTCTAAAAAAAAAAAATTTTTTTTTTTTGCTAGGTCTTGATATGGGAATCGTAAATGCAGGGTTTTTGACTATTTATGATGACATTCCAAAAGATTTGCTTGAACTTTGTGAAAATGCATTATGGAATCGTGATTCTGATGTAACGGAAAAAATCTTAAATTATGCACAGAAGCATGGTAAAGGAGCTAAAAAGGAAGAAGCTGAGGAAGAATGGAGAAAGGAAAACGTAAAATCCAGAATTAGTTACGCTTTAGTTAAAGGGATTACAAAATATATTATCGAAGATACGGAGGAAGCTAGGAAGAATGTAAGTAGTAAATTATTTAATTTGAAATTAGTACAGTTAAAGTTAAGAGAAATTTGTATATATATTGATAGTATTCGAGACCTTTAGAAGTTATAGAAGGTCCTTTAATGAGTGGTATGAGTATTGTTGGTGACTTATTTGGAAAAGGTATATAATCGAAATAATATTAAATTAGCTAAATCTTAATTATATGATATTCTAACATATCTTGTTTAACAAGGTAAAATGTTTTTACCACAGGTTATAAAATCTGCACGGTCAGTAATATGCCTTTTAATAAAATATTTAATTTTCATTACTTATGATCAATTTATTTAACTTATTAAATAGTGTTATGAAAAAGGCAGTAGCACACTTGATCCCATATATGGAAGAAGAACGTATGGCTAATCTTGCAAAAACTGGTGGTGAAGATTCAGGTCCTGCACATGCAGGAGTTGTTGTTTTAGCTACTGTAAAAGGAGATGTTCATGACATTGGTAAAAATATTGTTGGCGTTGTGCTCGGTTGTAATAATTATAAGGTATATGGTTTATATAAAAATTTTCACCTTTTTTCAAAACAATTTTTTTATATTGTATTTTTTTTTTTATCTTATTAGGTTATTGATTTAGGTGTAATGACACCTTGTGAGAAAATTATAGCAACAGCTTTGGAAGAAAAAGCTGATATTATTGGATTATCGGGCTTGATCACACCTTCATTAGATGAAATGATAACGGTTGCCAAGGAAATGGAAAAGCGTAATTTGAATGTAATTAAACTTTTAAATATTTAATATATAAGCTTTGTCAATATCACATTAATTATGTTATCTGATTTGTTAGATTCCATTATTAATTGGTGGAGCTACAACTTCCAAAGCGCATACTGCAGTAAAAATTTCTCCTCAATATAATAAACCTACTATTCATGTATTGGACGCTTCAAAAAGCGTCGTTGTGGTATCAAATTTGTTGGACGAGAAATCTAAAGAGGACTTCTGGGAAGATATAGCAGAAGAATATCAAGAAATTAGGGAAGATCATTTTGCTTCTTTAAAAGACCGGAAATATTTATCTTTGCAAGCTGCGAGAGAAAAAAGATTCAAAATTGACTGGGCTAAACAACCTCTTCCCGTTAAACCATCTTTTATTGGAAAACGAGTATTTACGAATTATGATTTAAAGAGAATTTCAGAATATATTGATTGGAATCCTTTCTTTCAAGTTTGGTACATCAAAATAATGTTGCTTATGTAATACGATATTTATCGTCCTGAAATATTTATTTAACGTTATGATCTAATTGTTGAATATTTAGGCAATTGAGAGGAAGGTATCCAAATCGCGGATTCCCAAAAATTTTTAATGATGAACATGTTGGTAAGCTATCGATGTTTTAAGCTTAATTAACCAAAATTAAAATCTTACTTAATAAATTTAGGTGCAGAAGCTAAAAAAATATATGATGAGGCATTAACTTTTGTCAAAAAGATAATTGATGAGAATTTATTCGTTGCTAAGGGCGTTGTCGGAATTTATCCTGGTATTTTTAGCTTCTTTTTTTACTTCTATATCATTTATATCGTAATCATATTCTTTAATAATATTAATTTATTCATTATTTTAAACAATAGCTAATAGTGTGGATGATGATATTCGGGTATTTTAAAATTTGTTTTTCCTAATATTTTCTAATTACGGTTTATATGACATAAATCAATTATCATAAAGGTATATGAGGATGAATCACGATGCAAGGTTTCTTCCACATTTTTCGGATTAAGGTAAATATAATTAGACTATCAACCTTTTTGTATCCAATTTTCATTTATATTTTATATACGAATATAGACAACAAGCGGAAAAGGAGCCGAAAGAACCATATTTTTGTCTTTCCGATTTTGTAGCACCTAGAGTATCTGGTATACCAGATTATTTAGGTTTATTTGCAGTTGGTATCTTTGGTGCTGAAGAGCTTGCAAAGAAATTCGAAGATGAACATGATGATTACAATATTATCATGACTAAAGCAATAGCAGATCGTTTTGCTGAAGGATTTGCCGAGTGTTTGCATGAGGACATACGTAAAGAATTATGGGGATACTCACCAAATGAAAATTTAAAATTAGGAGATATGCTGAGTGTTAAATATCAAGGTATTAGACCAGCTCCAGCTTATCCATCTCAACCGGATCATCGTGAAAAATCAACTATGTGGAATTTAATGAAGATACATGAAGAAACTGGAATCGAATTGACTGATAATTTGGCTATGCTTCCCGCTGCTAGTGTTTCAGGTATGAGTTATTATCAGTCTTTGTGTTGAAAGGTCATTAAATATTTTCTGTACTGGTATTAATTAATAATAAATAAATAGCCTTAGTCTTTGCAAATTCCGAATCACAATATTTCGCGGTTGGAAAGATTGAAAAGGATCAGGTAGGAATTTAAAACTATTCGTGTCGGTTAAAAAATTTTTATATCTACGTTTAATAGTTTTAAATAAATAAATTAATAAATAAAAAAAATATAGGTTCTAAACTACACTGAACGGCTTGGTAAAGACCTTGAGGATACAGAAAAGTGGCTTCGACCCAATCTTAATTACGGTATGCTTAAATCGTTAATTGAAATTTATTTCGAATTTAATTAATATTTTGCCTTTTTTTATGAATAGATTAATTGGAAATAATAGAGGATAGAGGAGGAATTCGTTAGTTAATTAGTTTATTTAAAAAAAATATAAATATTTAATTCAATAAAACTCAAATTGATTGGATAATCAGATAAAGTTTATGAGATCATACATACGATAAATGCCTAATCATGATATACCAATCACTCGGAGTTTTATGTAGTTTCCGAGTTACGCAATCACGCTTACGCACTCCTCACGTAGTATTGTTATATAAAATGGGAATTCTTATAATAAAGGGCGTTCTTGGGCTTGCAGTTTTTCCGGTCTTTACTAATATCTTTTATAACCTGACATTTTTGCCTATTTTTTTTTTCTTGCATTTTTTTTTTTTTGTAAATATTCTATACAGTTAACTTTTTTGACTGCGAAATAAAATTAAAATAACAAGCTCTACAAATGGAACTACAGCATCAAGTAGACTTTAAAGTTGCTTGTAATTCTGATCCTAATGTACTTCGAAGACTAAAATTTGAAAAGGGTTCAGTCCTTACATATTCTTCTTTGAAAGCAAAGGTATTTTCATATAAAATATTTCATAAAACATAAATAATCGGTATAATTAGGTATTCGTGGAGCAGTATCGTTTTATGTTTATTAGAAATTGAGCTTGTAAAAAATATACATAAAATAATTTAATACTACTTTCGGTTTTTAATTTATTAATATTATACTTGATATCATTTTTATCATTTGATATTTAAATGCCAAAAATTCTTGTACAATTATTTGCTGCGGTGATATGTTTTTATTTTATTAATTCTATTAAATATTAATTCTTTTTTAACAATTATTTTTCTAGCTTTCGGATCTTTTTCAATCGAATAATTTTAACGTTCGATACCAAGATGAAGATGGTGATGCAATAAATATCGATAGTGACTTAGATCTGCGAGAAGCAATTGATCATTTTAATCTAGACAAAAAAAATGCTAGAATTGTGATTCGTTTAAGCTTGGAAATAATCGACACAATAGACTCCAAACATCAAGAAAAAGAGTCACCAAATAATCTTAATGGTAATTCAAATGAAGACATAAATAATGTAACAGGTAAATATTAATTATTCTAACGAATATAACGTTATAATGTATCGTTTCCAAGTTTAAGTGTTCCATCTTCTGCTACATCACAAATAGACAACTCACATTCGTCATCATCCGAATTTGGCACGAATAACGAATATGCTAATCCTGAAGAGTATCCTTTCGAAAGAGTCCTTAATGTAGGAATCAAACATTTTCAAGACACGGTACAAACCTTTGTTACGCAACTAAGTTCCACTATTGAACGTGATAACTCATATAAGAATTTTAACGTGTCTCAGCCAAATCAATCAGATGATTCTCGTAACGTTAATAGTAATGATATTACAAATCTTTCGTCTGGTACTCGCCGAATTCAAAATTCTTCGGGTATAATTAATTTCATTTTATGTATATATTTTCAAATTATTATAATTAATTAATTACAATCTGATAATTTATAGAACCTGTTGTGCATCATGGTGTATTATGCGATTGCTGTCAAAATACTATCCGCGGAATGAGATGGAAGTGTACAACTTGTAAAAATTATGACTTGTGTCAAGTTTGTAAATCCAAACCAAGCATTCTTAATACACACCCAAATGATCATGTTTTCCGACCTATTCCCTATCCGAGAACTTCCAATCATTCTACTCGTATGTATTTTTCCAATTTCAGAGAGTAATATTTCAATTTATGATTTATTATTTATTCACCTTTTCATTTCTAATACAAAAAAAATTAGATTCTGAAAATGTGCATTCCGCTACTTGCGACTATTGTGAATCAGTCATATTTGGAATACGCCATAAATGTATTAATTGCCCAGATTTTGACTTGTGTAGTAACTGCATTTGTAAGTAAACTATTGGTATTGTTTTGCTTATTCATATTTGTTAAATTTATAACTATAATTTACTGATGCTTGGTAATAATGTTATTTTAGCGCTTGCACCAACTCAACATCCAGATCATACATTTATGTCTATTCATAAACCTGGTGATCCAGAAATCAAAATTCCAGGTATTTTATCTTTTGTCATAATGATCCTTTTGAAGAATTTGAATTTCTTTGAGATCATGCTTTTTAACATTTTATTTGAATTTCAATATAAAGATGCCGCTTTTCATCCTGGAATTAAATGCGATGGTTGTCACAAAGCAATTAATGGTGTCAGATTTAAAGTATGAATTATTAATAATATTGATAATTTCTTTTAAATTGATATAATTTTAAATATAACCAATCTAAATTGTTTGGATAGTGCGGAAATTGCCCCGATTTCGATCTTTGCGGAAATTGCGAGGCATCTCCTCTAAACAAACATGATATTAATCATGTTTTCCTTAAACTCAGGAGACCTGTTCCATCTCCACTATCAGCAACTGCGGCTTTACTTCCGCTCTTTTATTCGCGTGCAGATATCAAGGGTGGTTGTAAATCAAAAGCGGAATGCAGAAAAAATTCTTCGAAAGAAACAGAATCTATTACAAATAACGATATTGATGAGTTGACTCCAAATTTGTCCTCACAACCTACTATTCAGAAGCAACCAATAACAATTGTCAAAGCACCGAGGTAATTATTTATATCCACATCGTATTAAATTAATTGGTATTCATATTATTTTTTTTTTCTTTTTTTAAAAAAATAAAGTGGCGAAGCCGTTATTAGTCGGGCACCTATTGAACTTTATGAGTCATTGCGTGATACTTTAAAATCTGTATCAGCTCCTTTGCCCGAGATATCTTCTAAACCTTCTCCTTCCGTTTCAAATATCAACTCATGTCATAACGATTTATTCACCCCTTTGTTCTTTAAAAAAACCGAACCAGCTTCGCAGGATTCTTCAGAAAATGCTTTAAATGTATCAATGTTGAATTCATGTTTTATTGAAGATGTTAATATACCAGATGGTACAGTCCTCGTGCCACAAGCTCAATTTCTAAAAATCTGGAAACTGTCTAACAACGGTGGTGTCACTGTAAGTAATTAATATATTTAAATGTTTATTTAATTTTAATAATTAATATATTCTCCATATACTCGTATTTAGTGGCCTGAAAGTACGGTCCTACAGTTTGTTGGTGGACAGCGTATGTTCAATGATACTTTGTTTAAAAATGGCGAAGAAGCTATCGCACCTTATATCCCTGTTGGTGCCGTTGAAGTTGGTAAAACTCTGGATATTTCTGCTGATCTCCAAGCGCCATCTGAACCTGGAAAACACATTTCGTAAGTGTAATATTTTTCTAATATTTTTATAGAGATAATTTTGTTTATTTGATATTAATAATTTTAAACTTCATATAGATACTGGAGATTAACGGATAAGGATGGTAATCGATTTGGACACAATGTTTGGTGCGATATTTATGTGGAAGCTATTGATCAATCGTCCAATATGTCCGCCTCTTCAATGATCTTCCCTGTATTAAATTATGATCAACAATCGGTTTCTGCTAAATCTAATGATACCTCAGTTCCATTGTCTTCAATTCCTGCCACTCTTGTATCTTCAGACATTGAAAGATTTGAAAATGATGATAATAGTATTTTCCGTGATCCAGTTTCACTTGGTTCATCTTTGTCAGAAGAATCAAATTCTAATAGAAGATTAGAAAGACAAATTGAAATTGAAAATCAATCCGACCATGATGATTCTGATGATTCTGATGATGATTCTTCGACTGCTTCAAGCACAGATTCGTCTCAAGATTTTATTGTTGTAGAAAAAGATTCGGACGATGACATGCAATCACAACGTGGAAGAAGCGTACAACCATATACTATAAATCAAGATTCAAATGACGAAGTTATGAACGAAACACAATCCGAAGGGAAACTTTTGGCCGAAAATTCACCCGTTCCTTTATCTGCTGAAGAAGATTTCGTTGTAACATCACAATCCGTTGATGTTGGTGAGTCTAAATTAAGTAAAGAATTTTCAGAGAATTTGAAATACAAACAAACATTGGCTCAATTGGTCGACATGGTAGGAGTTTAACGTTGTATATTATTAGATAATCTCGAAGTTTAATTAACCTTATATATTTAATGATTTAATACAGGGATTCGATGATGAAGATAACGAAGTAGCTCTGATGAAACTTGTGGTGGAGCATGATGGAGAATTAGAACCAATTCTCAATATACTCATTTAAAACGTCTTTTATTATATTAAATATTTGTTATATTTTATATTTATCTTTTTTCTCCTTTTTTTTCGAATATTCCGGAAAAATAAATTTATTCATAAATCATGAACATTGTATTTCTTTTTTGCGTTATTTTTTTTATTTTATTTTCACATAACAAACAATAAGCTTATTTAGTTTCGTCAATTGTTTAATGTCGTGTTTTTTGATACTTGTATATTAAATATATTAAATAAAGTCATGATTAGTATTAAAATTTTCGGGCATTTTTAGTAATCATAGTTCACTTAAGAAAAAAATGGCGGTTTTTTAATAATAATAAAAATGGAAAATTCAAATTAAAAATAAATGATTAACATTAATCATAAAAATAATAATTATATTTTTTTAAAAAAAATCATTTTAATAAGATTATGAATTATAAATAATCTATTATCTTTATTGAATTATTATAAAAAAAAACTTTATTATTATTTAGAAAAAATGAATTTAACAAATAAATTGATAAAATAAAAAATTGATTTTTAAAATAAAATATAAGAAATACTTATCACCTAATTTTAAGCATCATTCTAATTTTGTGAAAAAATACTTGAAAAATAAAAATAAATACTACCTTAATTTCAAAAAAAAAAATTATTGTAAATTAGAAGAATATGATATATAATAAAAAAGTTAAATAGTGATACAATCCGGATTATCTGATCTAATCCGTTATAATTAAGATTGGTAAAAGTTCTAATTGGTCCTAATTGGTTCTGATTAATTTTAAAAAAATTATTAGTTTTAAAGATTAAATTTTTTAAATTTTATCATTATATTCAATCTTTTAATTAAAGTTACTTATTAAAATAAATTTAAATTTTTTTATAAAATTTAAAATATCTTTAAAATTTTAGACCTAAGACCTAGATCTTAGGACCAAGTCCTAAATTAAGTATATTTATTATTTTTAAAGAATTTTTTTTATTTTAAATTAATAAAATAATTGATATATAATAATTATTAAAAAGATTAATTTATTATTAAAAAATTTAATTAATAATATATAAATTAAAATCATCTTTAAATTCTTTAAGACTAATTAGAACTTATTAGGATTTTTACCAACCCTAATTTTAACTTGTTCTTATTTATTATGTTCTAGTTGTCCTAGTTGTTTTAGTAAAAAGTAATATTCTAGAAAAAAATCATAATATTTTCTATGCTATGTTGATAGTATAATACTACTATATATATATATATATATATATATTATACTAATATGTTTATAAGTAAAAAGTAAAATAAAAGTAAAGAATCTTACATTTTACTAGAATAACTAAGACAACTAAAACAAGTATTTATTTTACCTTCAATTCTGACTTAAATCACTATTTAACTATATTTTATCATCCTGATTTCTGTCTTAATATGTTCTAGAAAACTAAGACAGATTTTCTAGAACTAATTGATGAAATATATTCTGAACTTTTGCTGATAATAATATTTCATATTTCGGTATTTTACTATATGCTTTTTGTATATACCATAGCTAGAAGATATAAACTTATCACACTTCTTACATAAAATATGTTGATGAATTTCCAGTGATAACTACACCCTTCAAACCTATAACTATCTCATTCACAAGCTTTTTCACTTCTAAAAATATATTCATAACAATATAATGTCATTTTTTAAAATGATTTCTTTTTGTATTATAATTGATATCAGATACTTTTTAGTTAGGAATTAAATTTTATTTTAAATTTTTTCTATATATATGAGGTGAATGCTAGAAAAAGGAACCAAATCTACAAAATATATTTTTTGAAATAATAAATCATCTAAATCAGATGACCAAATCTACATCTATTTTACTTAGAAACTTTTTTTTAAAAAAAAATCAATTTGGTTTATTTTCCCAGCACTCATCCCATATTTAGTATTTCTATAAAATTCATCTGATAATATTATGACTCAATCTGAGCTTTCAGAGTTTCTTGATACTTTTATCTCTTAATATTGTGGATTTAAAGCTTCTGATATAGATGCATGCTTATATAAAATTTGTGAAAATACTAATAGGCTAAGATGATTCCTTAGAGCTAATAATAAAAATGATATTGAAACCATTCTTTCAAATTATGAAAGCCATTTATTACATGAATTTATTGATAAAAAGGAGAACTACTTCGCCTTATCATAGATTTCGATTTGTCACCAGAGGTATATAATTCAATAAAACCTAAATTTACAAGTAAAGAAATACAAGATTTGCTTAATCTTGCCTTTATAAAAATATGTAAAAATATATTTTCAGACTAAAATCATAAAACTATAACCATTACCAATAGTAATGATGCAAAAAAAATGTCTTATCATATCTCAACTTTTGGTATGAGACTTAAAAGTATTACATAGATTGCAGTTTTTATTGAGCTTGTTTGTAAGAAACTTTTAGTTTTTCTTTAGAATAAAAGTATTATTGATAATATAGCAAATAAACAATTATTTTTCTTGCAAATGCTTGAAATACTTAAGTTTGATAAGTTTGATAAGAAGACTAACAGCTATATATGAGTATAAAAAGCCATGCATCTAAAAAATAGATATATTTTTGACTTCATAATTCATTCACACAATGATAATTCTAAAGTTATAAATAACCTCTCTTAGCTATTTCAGAAACAAAAATAATAAGATAGCCTACTATAAATAATAACACCACTGAGGTTAAATTTGAACTGGTAGAGACATTACTTCAGGAGGCTAGCATCAAAGGGTATAGTCTTTCATATCTATTAGAAAACTTTTCTGATAAATTTTTATTATCACATGTCTTTCTATTACACTGTCCATTATATAATTATATAATCAGGAGTATATAAGTGATAATGCATATATTATTTGAAATAAAAAATTCTACAGCTTTTTCTGCTATTATGCAAATTAAAACAAATAGCCTAGAATAAGGAAGCCTTCATTAAAGCTTACTATTAGTAAAATGGTTTTGGATAGGAAAAATAACTCCTATCTCTAAAAAAGTTAGAAAAATCCAGAATTATAAATCTGAATGATCATTTATTATAGTGGATTTAATATGTATGTATACTTCAGATAAGAAATTCTTTTATGCTGAAGTTTATGAAGCAATCCAATCAAAGTTGCTTATATTCCAAAGAAAATATCAATATGATTACTAAAACATAAAGATTCAGAAAAAGAACTTTATTTTGATATAGGTTTTAAATTAGAACTGGCCAAGTTTAAGATAAAAATAATTGAATATGAAGTAAATTAGTAAAGTTAAAATTATTAATAAATTAGGCAATTATTAAAGGTCTAATAATTTACAAAGATTATGATTTCCTTTCATATCTCAAATGCTTCTCAACCAATTACATATTTCTTTAACTTTTTCATAGGATTTTTGGCTAAGCCAAGGATAGAAATTTAATAAAGAAATTATGAATCCAATTCTCTGCTATGTATTAAATATGAGAATGAAGAACTTAATGAGTATATCTGAAACTGGTGAGCATACTTAGTGCAAAAACTAGAAAAGAAGCCTTGAATAATCTTAATATAGAAATCCATATTACAATATTGAAAAAATATTATTGCTGATTTTATTGGTGATAAAGTCTTAAGATCATATCTTTATTTTGCAACGTCAGATTTGAAAAAAATTCTCAAGCGTTTTAATAGTATTATTCAAGCTCAAAAGCTTATTGTTATGAATAAAACTAGAATGTTTTAGCATAGATTTAATGGACATTTCAAATTACTTATAATAAAAGAAAGAGTAGCTATAGAACATAAAAGTCTTGAAACTAAATGGTAAAGATTTCGCTAGGTATATTGTTATAAGCAATCAAGATACTCTACTCAAAATAGATATAGGGGATTTTTATATAGTATGTTTTGATATTTTAGCATACTGTAAAGATAATATATCATATTTTGACTAGCTAGGAAAGATTTTAGACCATTCTGATGAATTAGGAGTAGTTATATTATACCTATTTAGTCATGATTTATCAAAATTCAAACCAGGAAAAATTCTTTCTACTAAAATAAAAGTAAATACAATGTAAAATCAACTATCTAATCCTATTCGATTTATAATTGATCATATTGCATTTTGGCCTAAAGATAAATTAGCTAAGCTAAGTTATAATACATTGTATCAGGAATATTTTGAATAGTATGAAATATACATAAAGTCGAAATAAAAACCCAATAGTTAAAATGTTTTGACTTTGACCTTCAAAGTTGAAATGAAAAGTCAAAATAGTCAAAATGACATCATATTACATGATTTTTTATATATAGAAAAACAAAAAAAAAGATATACAATCTCAGTCAATATATTAACTGAATTTTCACAAATACTGCAATAATAATCATATATCAAAGAATCTTTAATGCCTTATTTAATCTTATAAATCAATTAATTAGCTTACTATCACAGATTAAACATATTTATGGAAATAGTTGGAACTGTATAATTGCTGATTTGGATTATATATAGACAAATTGTCTTGGATTAGTTCTAAATAATATAGATAAAACAAAAGTGGAAAAGAACATCTTACTTATATTTTTTATCTTGTCAAGTACATTACAAAAGGTATAAAAAATAAATTTCATTTAAATTTGCAATTATTTATTAATTATTATGTTTATTATATAGAAAAATTCAAGAAAAAAATATGATAGCAGTATAACAAGTAATATGTATACACTTCTTATAGCTGAATCAAAAGATCAAATCAATCAACTATTTAATAAAATTCAAACAGCTGAAGAAGGTTAGTAAATTTTTTAAAAACTCTAATACATTATTATTTTATTGTAATTTTTTAAAATTTAATAGATTGGGTTAAATTTTATCATCAAGATTTGGTTATTTCATCTCTCTATACTAATACTGCGAAAGCAACACATGCTTTAAGTAACTGTTGTGATAACAATATTTAATGCAAATTTCTAAATAATAGAGGACGAAAATTGGACATGGAAAGATATAAATCTATTAATGTTCATCAAATGTATAATGTACCTAATCGTGGACGAGATAAAGGGCTTATTACTTGTAATGTTCAATCCAATAAATGTAAAGGTATATTTAAATTTTAAGAAATTATATTAAAATTAATTACACTTTAAATTATAATTTTAACTTAATTTATTTATATGCCAACTACTAATATAATGCACAGAAAAAAAATCAAATGCTTGCAAAGTCAACTGCAAAACGTAGATACATAAGTTCAAATTCTAAGAAGTCCAAGAAAACCGTTACAATTTCTGATTCAGATGATGATTGTAATAATAATGAACATGGTAAGGAAAATAATATTAAATTTCAATGAACTTGCAAATCAAGAAAGAAAATTAACTTTAAAAGAACGTGAAATTTCTTTAAGAGAACGTGACCGTATGATAGAATTATCCAATCTTGAAAAGAACGCGAATTAAAATTAAAATAATAAATGTTTTATAGGATTAGAATTTGTAAAATTCTTAGTTAAATGCGAGTATATATTATATTCAGCTGTTAGAGTTGTTGAGTATATATTTAAAAAATATTACAATACACATATCAATTGTTAAATACATACAACGTAGAATGGTAAATCTTTTTTTATCATATGGGGCCTTTGCAATAGAAAGGGGGGAAACTGCCGGGAAAAATTAATTTTACTTTTATATGCCAAATATGATTTTTAGGCTGAAATATGTTCAAATTTAGCATTAACTCATTTTTGATTTTCCGGCAGTTTCCCCCCTTTCTATTGCAAAGGCCCCATATCATCTTTTCCCCAGAAAAATGAAATGATCAACAAAGTGGTGGCTTAGACTAATAATTTAGGATTTATGTCAATCATTTGCTTTTATTATACCGATGTGTGGGAAAAATTACACAAAGACCAGAATCAATACGGCTTCTGTTCTCGATCTTGTTTCTACTTTCATTTTTATCAACAGTAACATTACTTAAAATAGAAAATTAATGTGTCACTTTAAAAAATGGTTTTATTTATAGTTATTTTTCCGCTAATCGATTACAATCGTTAATTTAATTTCTTTTTTTTTTAATTGATGATAAAATAATAATGAATATTAATTCAACTATAAGTTCTCTTAATGAGCCCGGAGATGTCCATAGAACAGTATCGACGTATATACGCCGGCTGGAAAAAATTACCAAGAACATTCCTGGTCGTATAAACTCATATGAAGTGTTCGTTACAAGAGACCATAGAAATTTTATGACAGAAATCGCAACAGTTGACCCGGATTTACTTGATAGTACAGTGCGTCGATTTACGATAGAAAATAAATTGAAAGAAACAATGCCGTCAAAAAATATTTCAGAATTACGTGAAATCTTTATGGAAGTGTTAATCAAGGTTTCTGTCAATTTACCAGGACATAGCGATGAAGACGAGGAATGGGAATCTTCGCTTAGTCAAAACAAGGACACCTATTTAGTTTCATCATTATCATCCTTAGCGTTGTCAGCAAAATCATCAATCAAAACACCAAATCTATCATCATGGCAAAAAATTGAAGATCCTTGGGTTACACGAAATCGCGCTTCAACAAAAATGCCGGAGGATTATGAAAAATATGTTGATGGGATTGCATTTTTAGACAGATTCGAGATTGTTCGAATTTTGAAGCCTTTTGGTCCAGTTGAACCAACCGACAACCTCTGGAATAAGATCAAAATAAAATGTGGCGTAGCAATCCATGAGGTTCTTCATGAAGAATGTAAACAATACTATTTAAATCGATCCAACGTAAACATTTTCACTGAAATGCCGAAGTTAATAAATAAAAACCTTATTCATGTCTGGGCTTTGAGTTTAAAGGAATTTCCTCCAGCTGGACCTAGAGCTCACGTATTATTTTCAGGAGACGTGGTGCTTAAAGATCGACATCTAGTATTAACATTGCACCCTCCAAAGATTGGTACTTCTAAGAGATATTACAGGTTATTATCATCCGAGAGATTTCTTCATCTAAAGATTAATATGGACTTTAATGTTTTAAATAATAAACAAAAAGCAAGTTTGAAAAACTTATTGTTATGCCCTTTATCACTTGCGGGAAGAAAATACGAATTTTTATATGCGAAATCGGAAACTTTATATTATTTTGCAACAAGTGGATCAGACCTTTCTAACATGTCAATTAGGGAAGTTATCGATTGTAACTTGCCAATAGAGCTTAATAAAAAGATGAACACTGCAAAGTTTTATTCTCGGATATCTTTGGGGTTTTCTAATTCTACACCTTCAATTGTTTTCAAACCAAACGAAATTCGATATAACGTCGAAGATATCACTATGGATAATCATTGTTTCACTGATGGATGTGCCGCAATTTCTTTGGTCGCTATGAAGGAAGTTTCCGAAATCTTGGGTTTGGAAGAAACTCCTTCCGCTATTCAAGGCAGGATTGGAGGGGCAAAAGGCATTTGGTATATTGAACCACTCAAGGACAATAGTGGCAATAAATGGATTGAATTACGAAGATCCCAAATAAAGTATAATGTGAAGCAAAATTCAGGTGTTGACGACACTCATTTACGTACTTTAGAAGTCTTGCGTGTCGTGGTTCCACCGAGAACTCCAGGTACACTTAACAGTCAATTTATTCGAGTTTTATACAATGGGGGTGTTCCCGTTGAAGTTTTCCTTAAAATTATGAAAGATTATCTCGATAAGATCAAATATGAAGTTGTAGATTGTGACGACCCATACTCTTTAATAGCTTGGGTGACGAATGTCTCCAAGGTTATGAAAAAAAGGTTAGAGGTTTTTAATCATTTCGAGGATGATTATTCAGATGATGGAAGTAACTATGGAGATTTATCCGTAGATTTAGGATTTGACGGATGTGTTGTATCAGGATTTCCAAATAGTCCAGCTGAACAATGTATCCAGATGTTACAAGCAGGTTTCATCCCTTCCACGTGTCCTTTTTTAGCAAAAAAGTTGAAACTTGTACTTATGAACGTATTAAGGTCACTTTGTAATAAGTTTCGAATAGAACTTCCCTTATCCCGCGTATTAATATGTATTGCCGATCCAACAAGAACATTGAAACCGGGAGAAATCTTTATTCAATTGGATAAAGAATCTGGACGTGATGAACGCACGGGATTGCCATTCGGCATTATTGAAGATGAAGTTATCCTAGCTAGGAATCCATCTGTTTTACCTTCTGATATTGTCAAAGTAAAAGCTGTTAAAAATATGCATTTGAGCATTTATTTTAACGTTGTCATATTTCCTGTAAATGCTGAAAGAGGAGATGTATCACTAGCTACCCACATAAGCGGTGGAGATTACGATGGAGACAAAGTAATAAAATATTTTCATATCTTTTTATTTAAAATATATGTGTTTATAATAAATTAATCATTTCTATATTTATTTTTAGATTTTCTGTTGCTGGGATCCGCAAATTGTTAAACACTTCAAAAATTCCCCCCTTTTGCCTCTCGATCCAAAAGTTAAAAATGCTTTTAACGAAAATAAACAATTTGTTGATAGTTTATTTTCTTCATCTAAAACTTCCTTTGAATACAAAATTCAGGAAGTTATTATAGATAATTATTTTAAGGGCTTGGAACCAATATTAGGTCTATATGATCGATGGCATAAACTTCAATCCTCTAGATTTGGAATATCTGACAAGCAGTCCATTTATCTTGCTCAAATGTGTGCACAGCTTGTTGATTCTACGAAACAGGGACTTACCATCAAACCAAGTGTTCGACAGAGTGATAATGAGTTATGTGGAAAACTTCCTGTTCCTTATTGGATGGACAAAGAACGTTTTAAAACGAAACCGAACAGTGGAGATAATTTCGGAGTTACGAACGTAATGGATTTACTTTGCATTACAATTGAGAAAGAGACAAACGAAGTAAATAGTAAAGAATTTTCAGTAGCAAAGGTGTCACAAGACCTGGTTGATACTCATATTAATGAATTTTGGAGAAATGAATTTGTTAGGACTCAATACATGGAAGAAGGGTCAGCATATAAGGAGGACTTAAATCTAATTGCCAACTCTATGTCGGAATTAGTACAAATGTATAATAAAAAATGTGCTAACATTTACCAAGATGATCAAGATAGAAAAGAAATTGAACAATCATCTTCAAAATCAGCTTTGACGACAAATTATTCGAGATTGAATGACGAGTTTAAAGGTGTGGATTATGAATTTCTAAACGAGTTTCTAAACAGTCCATCAATTGAAGACTACAAAAGTAGTGTTTTTAAAGTTTTAAAAGATAGAACATCAACATCTTTTGAAACCAGTATAGACCCACTCGCCATATTTGAATTACAATTGAAAGCTGCTTCACTCTATCTATCTTCTGTTGAAAAAAAAGTGGATGGACAAGTTTGCTGGGTTATTGCATTTCGTATTCTATGCAATATAAAATCGCAAATGGTGGAGAGTGACCAATCTCTTGTTATCGGTGGGCCAAGGACGATAATTGACGAAGTTTGGCAAGCATTGAGAATAGATAAAAAATGGTTGAAACGTAAAAAGATTAACCCCTTGTAAATAATATAAACTGTCAATTTGTAATTTTATTTGTTTGTAAATAATTAAACTATCACCATGATTTAAATTAATTCTCTTAAATAAGCAAGAGAAGAAATTCAGTTATAAAGAATACAAATCCAAACGTATGCAATAAATACAATATAAAATTAATACGTGTTTATTTCTACTAAGGAATATTTTAAAATATACAATATATGACCTTAAGGAAATGAATAAATTTGCAATATTTTAAACCGATTAGATGTTTTAAATTTCAAATATTTTTTTATTAATTGTTCGTCATAGATTATACAACCAAGTGGTTGCTAGTATACATAACTCACATCGTAATTTTCCAGAACTTCCATTTACTGTTACATTCTTTCCTTTGTCTTCAATATTTGGACATACTATAATTAATTGTTCTAAAAGATGTAGAACATTATTTAAACTATTCAGAGCTTTCATCGAAGTAAATAACGGAAACGGTAATGTAACTGAGAGACGTTAACGACAAAAAAAAAGGGAAAGAAAAAAACCAACGTCAAAGATAAAATAACTAATGAACATAAAATATATTTCTTCAATAAAAGGATATCTTCATTTAATAGATGTACCAACATTTTAATCAAATATCTGTCATTGTGTCCACGCATTGCCATTATTTGCTTTGTAACGCGTGAAAATTGATCTACTTCGTTTACAGAATTATTCAAGCATTTGTAAGATCGAAATATCTTTATCCAACGCAAACCATCTAAATGTCTGTAATCCTTAGAAATTTCACTTTTAGATTCATCTTTTGAGATAACACCTAAATATTGTTCTAACAGGAAAGGTAACAAAGATATGCTCCATTGACAATTCAAAGAATTTGTAGTTGTAAAAATCAGATATATCATAGAAGGAAGCAAATGAACAAAATCTAGTAAAGTTCGTGTCCAATTAGATTTTGTTCATATTATATGACACTTAAAAAGCCAATTATAGATCATACCTTGATTTATCATTCCGGCTTTCTTGATTTTCTTTACGCATAAAGTTTCCCAAATCATTTTGTCAGAGTTTTGATAGGAATTAGACGCAACATAACTTTCGTCGATTCTACAGTACAATATGAATGCACCAAATTCTAAATAATCTGAAACAAGATCAAGTGGCAAATCTATCAAGGCAAAAATAGTTCTCGTTTCTCCTATATGCAGCAAATTGATATATGAAGAATTGGATTTTAACATTGAAGACATAAGGTTAGAAGTATTCTTAAAATATGTAACTAAATGGACAGCATATAATTCTTGGCTAATTAAAATTATTAAAATGTCAGTCAAAATTATTTAGTAAGAAGGTAATTAAAATAATTTCTATCATACATATATACTCACAAACTCTTATTTCGCACCGAAATTTCTATTAAAATATTTTCATTATGATTAAATTTTCCAATGTTCGTCTTTGCTTCGATAATTTCAATATAAGAAGATTTATCTTCTGGGTTGGTACAAATCTCCTTACTTGTATTAGTTCGCATGTGAGATATAAGAGGTACAAGTCCCTCCGTGTGTTTACTATGTCGTAAGATTTGTTTAGTAAACTTTGTTCGTTTCAGATAGTATAAACCCATTAAATAGGAAAATGTATGAAGTATAGAATCGCTGTGTTCTAAAAGGTTATATTTTTTATCAATCTGTAAATAGAATAAATATATGTAAAAATATAAAAGAAAAAAGAAATAGCAAAATAAACTATCATTTACCATTTCTTCGATTTTTCGTATCTGTGCTGTTCCATCATATATTCTGGTTAATAAAGAATCTAGAAGAGAGCTTAAATGCGAAATATTTCCTTCTATAATGATAATAAAATTATTCGAAATTATTAAAAAATTTATTATTCATTATTCTAAAAAACAATTAAACCTTTAGTATTATCATTTTCAACGTTGATATTGTTTATAAGAATTAAATTGTTATTGAATCTGCAAGGCACCTGTACGATGCTTTGATATCCACATTGATAGAAATCACCAAAAAGTAGAATAATTTTATTGGAAAATTCTAGAATTTGTAAGTTGAAACTGTTTTTTTAACATAAGTATAATTAAGAAACTTTTTTATCCATACAAAATATTACCTCGTAATTTTTTGCCATTATCAGAGTTCAAGATAGTTAATCCGTTTTCAAAATAGATAATTAAAACGGAATCCAAACCTCCTACTTTGTCACCTAATTGAACTTCCTCCCTAAAAGATTAACTTTTATGTCACAAAAATGTACAATTTTAATAGAAAGCATGAACTAAAATCATACATCTTCAAAGGAATACTTGTAATATCAGTACACCATATTGGTTTTATATCGCCAATATTATCGACGTTCTTGATGCATATAATATTTCCTTTGGAAGTTCCTATCCATATAATTTCTTCATTGTTCCATAAATGATTAGTTCTTAGTAAACAAGTGATATGCTTTGAGTAATAATCAGGAATTGCGGAAATAAAATAAGGTATTGGGGAAGGAAAATTCTCAAAGAAATTGCGCATTATAATGCGAGATTCATATAAAGGTCGAAATACGACGTTAATGAATCTGTAAGGTTCGTCGACATCATCAACGATACCATATTGTTGATGAGGCAGCCAAAATCCCTGGATACTATGTGCTAGTAAGGAAAGTGTACATAACATATTTCTTGACAATAATGGCCTCCATAAAACAATATGAGTGTTATTTTCTTCAAAAAAAGAAAAGTCATCTTCTGACACATTTTGATATATGAATGCAATCATCGGTCCATCCATGATAATAGCACCTAAATAGACGTTAATGACAATTTTTATTTTATTTTAACCGAATTGAACAAAAAGACAACGATCGCTCACCACAAAATGTAGCATCAAGAATTTTTTCAGATAAATTAATATCCCATGCCTTCTCATAGTCTCCTAGTTGCCACAAACGAAATTCAGATTTCGTTGCGTCACATAAAAGCAAATAAGGGGCGAGGCTTTTTATTAAAGAGATAAGAATTACAAACCATTAAAAATATTATCGTTAGAGAATTATTTATTTAAATATAAATGACAATCAAAAAATTACATTGCTAATTCAATATTACTCGTCACGGTAAAAGCAACTAATTGAGGTTGTCGAAATTCTAAAACACGAGAAAAAAGTCCGGCATAAATAAATAATAAAATTGATCTCTCGTAATAATTTTGGATAAAATAATTCTTCTACATTCTATTTGATGTCCTTAAACTAAATAAAATAAGAATAATAATATTTCTATTATAAAGTCGTACTTTCAGAAAGTTGAGTTTGCGAAAACCCTAATTTTTTCATATTACTAAGAGTTTCAGTGGAAAAGTATTCTGCCACTACTAAGGATTCTCCTTTTATGTATATATGAATTAGAGTCTTTTGAAAACAAACATATTTGTCGTTAGAGCCAAAATAAACGCTAAACGGAAAGAAATTCATTCTGACCCAACACGCGTCAAAAAGAGGTGAAGAGATATTTATGATCACATTACTAAATGTGACAATTCTGCATACTGATGATCTTCAGCCATCGTTGATTTTTATTTACATTTTTGTTATTTTTTTTTTATTCGAGTTCTATTTAATTATCCTTTACTTCTTATATGTTAGAACAGTTGATTCTTTCCTGAAGCCTGATTTCACTTTTGCTTTTCTGAAATTATGTCTGATCTATCATCCAACGGGTAAGCATCTTATTAAATATGTAATATTAATCACAAAAAAATACTTTTTTTTTAGTTGATAAATACAAAATATTATAATCTAATGGATCAAAAAATTTTAATCTTGAATTATGAAAAAATATTTTCATATAGTCAATCAAAACAACTTGGTGTTACTCCACCAATCGCTTTAAATTATCCAACTCCGAGAGAAATTGAGGTCACAGATTTACTGGTTCAAGAACTTACTGCACAAGGAACTTTTGAAAGCGAAGAAGAAAGTCGTCGCCGGTTAGCTTTCAGTTTTATTGTTGTCAACCCAATTATATAAGAAATAACGAACGAATGTATGCCATAATCTTTTTTCATAATCTTTCAGAGAAGTCGTACTTGGAAAGCTTGATAAATTAGTTAAAGAATTTGTTTACCGAACAAGTAAAAAGAGACAGTTACCTGAAGCTGACGCAAGGGAAGCTGGTGGGAAAATATTTACCTTTGGCTCTTACAGATTAGGTGTTCATGGTGCTGGTAGGTATAAATATATTATTGTTACCATTGTTATTCTCTTCCGAAAAGTTTTGCTTATTACAAAATATATATAGGCGCGGATATTGATACGCTATGTGTCGTTCCAAGGCATGTAACTCGGGAAGACTTTTTTATTGATATGCATGATTCACTTTTTTCTTTAAAAAATGAAGTTACTGAATTGACGGTAGATATTCATTCATTAATTTTCTTTTTTTTCTTAACTATTATTTATAATTATTTTTTATTCATGTGCATCTTTTTTAAGAGTGTCAACGATGCTTATGTACCAGTAATCAAAATGAAATTTCAGGAGATTCCTGTGAGTAGCAGATTTGAGCATTTCCATTATGATTTAATGTGTTTCTATTTTAATTACCAAAACTTGTATTTTCTTTCACTCCAAACAGATAGATCTAGTTTTTGCAAAATTAAATGTTACTAAGGTTCCTGATGATCTTGAGCTTAGAGAGAATTCACTTTTAAAAAATTTGGATGAGACTTGTATAAGAAGCCTTAATGGTAAGTTCCTAATAGTATATAAGATATCTTCAAATTATGCATTAAAATCCAACATTTGCAATAGGATCACGTGTGACCGATGAAATATTACGTCTTGTGCCTAGTATACCAGCCTTTAGAACATCACTGAGATGCATCAAACTGTGGGCCAAGAGTAAGTCAACTTTTTTATTATTATTATTTTCGTTAACTTTAATGTTTGTGCATTCATTCCAAGTGAATTATTTTTTTTATAGGACGTGCAATTTATTCGAATGT